CCACCAAAATGGGTTCTGAATCCAAATACAAATACGACATCTGGTGTGGTCTTGTACATTTTGGCTAGTTTTTCCCGAATTTCTGTCTTAGGTACTGTTGCCTTTCCAGGGTGAAGAACATCAATGACCATCTGTTTCTGCTGAAGTAGTCGGTTAGTCATGAACTTCCTGGTCTGGATAGTTACTGTGTCGTTCATGATGGCAGCGAGGCTTCAAGCAGCCAGGGAGGAAAAGATCTTCTTATAGTTTTTAACTTAAAGTCTATTTTGTCTGGTATCAGTGTAGCTACCTTTGCTCTCTTTTGGTTTCCATTTGCATGGAATTGCTGTTCCATCTCTTCACATTGAGTCTGTGTGTGTCCTTAAGGCTGAAATGAGTCTCTAACAGGCATAGTGGGGGTCATATTTTTTATCCACTTAGCACTATGTTATTTGGAGAATAGAATTCATTTGCATTTAAAGTAATTATTGATAGGTAAGAACTTATGATGCTATTTTATTGTTTTCTCATTGTTTTAAAGTTCCCTTGTTGCTTTCTTCCTGTCTTCCTTTGTGAAATGAAATTTTCCAGTGGTATACCTTGATTCCCTTCTTTTTATCTTTCATGTTATCTATTGTAGGTTTTGCTTTGTGGTTACCATGAGGCTTACATAAAATCTTACTGATATAACAGTACATTTTACGTTTGTAACAACTTTAATCAACTTTAATCATATACAAATACTCCACCCTCCCCCCCAACATTTTAGGGTTTTGATATAAAAATTTAACTTTTTATATTGTATATTCATTATCACTATAGTTATTTTTAATACTTTTATCTTTTAACCTTTATACTAGAATTAATCAACACACCATATTACAGTATCAGAGTATCATGATTTTGACTACATACTTACCTTCTTCAGTGTTTTATATCTTCATGTTTTTCATTTTACTAGCTAGTATTCTATCATCTCAGGTTGAAGAACACCTTTCAGCATTTTTAGTAAGGTTTGATGATGATTAATTCCCTTAGTTCAATTTGGGAATATCTTTCTCTCTCCTTCATTTCTGAAGGACAACTTTACTGAATAAAATATTCTTGGTTGGTTTCTTCAGCACTTTGAGTGTATCATTCCACTCTCTTCTGGCCTGAAAGGTTTCCGCTGAGAAATCTGCTAACAGACTTACCAGGATTCCCTTGTCATGTGATTTTTTTTTTCCTCTTGCTGCTTTAAAAACGGTCTTTTAGACAGTTTTATTATAATGTGTCTTGGAAAGAATTGCTTTGGGTTGAAATCTTGGGGAAAACTATAAATTTTATGAACTTAGGTGTCCAAATCTCTCTCCAAATTTGGGAAATTCTCATTCATTAGGTCTCTAATCTTTCAACCCATTTCCCCCTCTCTTCGTCTTCTGGTATACTATAAATGCATAGATTATTTTTATGGTATACCATGGTTCATGTAGGCTTTCTTCACTCTTTTTCATTTTTTTGTTTTCAGACTAGATAACGTTAAATAATCTGTCTTCTACTTCATAATAATTTTTTCTGCTTGATCCAGTCTGCTGTTGATTTCAATTGCATTTGCTTTCCCTAAGGTGGTGATGACTGCTCAAGCATGTGGTTTCTCCCAATCCCACGGAATCCAGTTTCTACGCATGCTCACTGGCCATCTGCAAAGGCTCATTCTGACCATTCTTGCCCTCAGAGGCATGCACAAGGCGGCAGTCACTGGGTATGGGTGTGTCTGAGTGAGCTGCACAGAGCTTGGTGGTACCCATAGGCCAGCTGAAGTGATCAGTACGGGAGACAACCTCAGTGGCTCCGGAGTAATTTCCTGACAGAGTTCCCAAAGCAGTTAATAAAATGTGTGTTCCTTTGATATGTTCATTCCCAGCCTTAGCTGTTGTTCTCCCAGCATGACTGTCCACCCCCAAGTTGTGTAGTTCACAACCCGATATTCTGGATAGAGTGAGAAAGAAATGGGTTTTGGGAGTATCCCACATAGCTGGGGAATCCAGCACCTGCTCTCAATTTCCCACATGGAGAAAATCATGGGCAGAGAAAGTCTCTATTGGCATTGAGTTGTGCTGTCTTGGGGGAAAGGTGACACAGGTAAAGTAAAACAGCTCCATTTATTGTCTTCAATGGATCCAATCTTGGATGGTTTTTCCTCCAAGTATGCTGAAACCTCTCTGATGGACCCCTGGACTCCCACAAAGGCACTCTCGTCCATGAGTGATTGTCTAAATCACTGTTCTTTGAGGGTTGGATAGTAAACTTCATCCTGAAACTTCTGAAAACACCTCTCATTAATTCTTTCCTTTGCCAGTTGAAATTTACTGTTGAGCCCCTCTAGTGAATTTTATGTTTCAGCTACTGTGTTTTTCTACTTTGAAATTTTCATTTGTTTCCTTTTTTTATAATTTCTATCTTCTTAATGATACTCTCTATTTGATATGACTTTGTCATCATACTTTATTTTTTTAAGCATGATTTCTTTTAGTTCACTGAACTTAATGGCTACTTTGAAGAATCTATGTATTAAATCCAACATGTCACTCTCATAACCAGTATCTGCTGCCTGCTTTTTTTTTTTTAAATGACATATGGGTTATTTTCTCGTGTTTCTTTGCATGTTTCACAATTTTGTGTTGGAAACTTGATATTTTAGATAATATGTTGTTCTAATTCACAGTACTGGTCTCCCCACTCTGGGACTTGTTATTTTTTATGCTTGCTTGTTCATTTAGTAGCTAGATATCTTATTTTCTTAAATTCTATGCCCCTAATTTCCATAGCGTTAAGCCTCTGACTTGCTCCCCTGAGGAGATTTGGCTTTGCCTACAGTCATCCTGAGATGACAGCAATTTTGGAAGAGTGCTTGGTCCCTTTCTCTGACCACACCTAGATGTTAAACTCCACTAAATATGGCCAATTGCCTTATAGTTTTCACCAATGAACGTGGGTATAAACTACTCTACAGAATAAACTAACCAAATTGACATTACTTTGAAGGGAGAGTTTCAGAGGTCCATGTTTGAGATTTGTTCTGACACTAAGAGTCAGTCTCCTAGTAAGCCTATACTTAAATCTGTATGTTCAATCAATCTACCAATCTCCTCTCGAATTACCTTTCACCACAAGCTCTACTGTTTCTGAGAGTACCCTTAGGCTTGAACTTCTCTACATTCTGCTGTAAATAGCGTCAGCTTCTCTGGGAAGGGATTAGGAGCTGTTTTATGACCCCCTTCTCACTACAGGGAAAATCTGTGAGCCATCGCTGTGACGTTGGGAGATGGACAATAGCATGCTTTACTTTGAGTGACATCCCATCTTTAGAAGCTGAGTACTTAGTGGTGATGTAGTAGTCTCAGGTCTTCCTGGTTTGTCTGTAGTGGTGTGGAACCACTACTTTAGAGGCTAGGGCAATTGGACTCTCAGTATTCTAAGCAGCACTGTGCCCAAAGTAGAGCCTCCATCCCAAGAATGGGGACAGGGCAAAAAAAGGGAGCCCCCATCTCTGAGTCACACTTGGCTAGCAAAACGTAGCTGGAGACAGGATGAGAAATGCAATTGCCCTATTTCCTGGAAGATGGTCCTCCAAGTGGGGGTGGGGGGGTAAGAAATTCTGTCTTCTTGATTGCACTGATATGGAGTTACCATCTTGCTCAGCTGGGATAGGTCCGGGAAGCAATGGGTCTTGGTGCAAATACCACATATTCTTTACCAAATTTTAGTAAATTTCCTTGAATAAATGTTTCTTTACTTGCTATATATCCTTCAGAACATTTCCAAAGACTGTAAATCGTTGTTTTTGTTTTTTAATAATTGTCACCAATTTTGCTAAGGAGTAGGTCCACAGAGCTCCTTATGCTGCCATGCTGGAAGTCTCTTTCAGCCACTGAGCTTTTTAAAATGTAAATCAGATCATGTCCCCATTGAAAACTCTCCAAAAATTTCCTTCACATTTATAACACAGTCCAAGTTTCTCCTAAGCTCTAGAAAGTTCTACACGATGCAGCCTCTGCCAACCACTAGCTATCATTCTTTACCACTTTTTATGTACTTTATTTACTCTGCTCTAATTTCTGTCCTAACAAGGGTGGTCCTCTTCAGGGTCTATCTTCGATTCCCTTTAAAAAGCTGTCTTCCTAGATTTCTCCATGGCCTCCTTCCCCATTTCATTCAGGTCTCTGCACAAATGTCATTTCAAGATATTTTCAAAAATAGTACCTGCCCTCCATTCTTTATCCATGTATCCCACTGTGATTTTCTTTACAGCACCTAAATTTACTTAACCTATTCATTTTCTTACATGCTTAAAGTCTGTTTCCCCCATTGAAATAACAACTCTAAGAGAGTAGGGGGCTCTGCAATCTTATTCACCACTGTATCCCCAGTATTTAGTACTTGGCACACAGTCAATACTCAATAAATACTTGTTGAATGAATAAACATAAACAAGAACTGAAATATTTTTAAAGCTATTTACATCTTAAATGACATTAACAGAGAATATTTTTATTTATATCCATAAAGAGAATGATTAAGAGTATGGGAAAAATAGTTGTTCATTTGGCTTAGAGAATATAAACAAAGTGGCCAATATCCAAGTATTTAATATTCAGTTTCAGTAATCCTAAAACTTATTTTTATAAATAGCACTGCTGACCTGCCCTTGCCTTTACACTACATACACCAGACCCAAAAGAAATAATCAGCTCTAATTTAAAGGGAAAATAAAAACAATACTAAAATGATAAATATACTACGACCACTAGTTTTGACAATTGGGGTATTAGAAGATTTAGAAGCTAATCAAATTGGAAATCCTTAATCAAATACAAATTTGTCACTGTCACTAATTATAAATAAAAGTCTTTAGCATTAAAAAAGTTAGGATATTACTTCCATTTTTTCAGTTTCACTCCATATACCTTCCTATTATAGGCCAAGTTTTGCAATGCGCTTAGCAAGGCTAAGCAAAAGAATCTTAGGTTATGGAGTTTTACCTTGAGTCCTGTTTTCTCGTCATCACTTCCATTATTTGTAGATGGTGTCTCATCTCCTTGCCTGGAAACCAAGACAAAATCTTCACTATTAAGAGTAGATACTGAGTCTGAGGAGACACTGATTTTTCCAACAGAAGCCTTGTCATCCATGACTCAAGAATGAAGCTCAACTCATGAATGATTAAATATTTTAAAAATGCCTGAAAAACAAAAACCATAAAGATACTCATATAGAATGTCTGCCAGATATTCAGTTATGCTCTAATTCTTACAAAATACATATGGAAAAACTTAAAAAAAACTTTCAAAATCTTTTCCCAAGACTTCCACTACATACAACTTAGGCTTTTTACTCCAGATAATGAAGGAATCTGATGCTATTCAGGGCCAGGATATTTCAGATTAAAAAAACAAAACGAAACAATAAAACAGATTCCCTTGAGAATAACTGCCTACCTACAGTGATTTCTTTGGCATATGTTACAACTCTATTCTTGGACTTCAAAAACTATTAAGTACTAAACTTCTGTTTTCTACCCTTTAATTTGTAAAGCTGTACACATAAATGAAATTGAAAGCACACAAGACAATAAGGTTTTTCTAATGTTACTGATATTTAAATTTAAAATATTAACAAGATGCTTTTAAGAAATAAAATTTTATAGTCACACTCAAGAGAAATAAATTCAAGGCAGAGCAAGCAGAAATTCTAGAGCTGGGAAATACCTTACATAGCAAGAAATCAGAAATCCGTTAAAAACTCAATCTTCCCATCCCACAGTTTCTCAAGAGTTCAACTCAACATGAACATTACCAGTAAGTTTCATGCCAAAAATTCCCAGCAAGAAGTATAAAAATACGTCACTTATGAAAAGCCACTCAAATATTTATTGACTCCCGGAATAAAACTTAAACTCATCTACCATTTAAAAACCTGGTTCTGAATACTTTATGGCAATGTTCCCATTTGGTTGCCAAAACAGCAAGAGAACAATACAATATACTCAGAAAGCTTTAACCAATAAACAGTAGTAGTTCTAGCTCTATGCTCATCTTGTACCTCAAAGAGGTAAAGGTGCTGAAGAGTCTATTTAATCTCTCCAATTAACAAGTCCTGATTTATGCTTTGTGTTTTCAATTGAACATATATTTATCGAGCATCCACCATGTGCCAAGCACTATTTTCCCTTCAAAGGCTCACAACTAGATAAACACCTGACAGCAGGAATTACACAATCCTTCAGCATTACAGTTCAAAAGAAACTGTTAAACAGATAAGAAAATGGCAACCCCAAAAGAAGGTAATTTACCTAGGCATAACTAAGGATGGAACCCTTACTAATGCTACTTACTTCTTTCTATTTAAACTAATTTCCTTGCTTACATGGCTATCACAGCTTTACATTTCATAGGACTAAATTTAAATGTACAGTGTAGCATTCAAAGGCACTTCAAAATGTACTTTTTGAAAACTTTTTTTAATGTAGTTTTGCTTCATCCATTCAATGAATACTCACAAAGTGTCTAGTGTATAAAGGATAATACATGGTAAGCAAGAGAAATTAAGATTCTTGCCCCAAAGGAATGTATACTGTAGCAGAGAACAGAGGCACATTGAACAGATTAATAGGTACAGATTTAGGGTAAAGAAAACTATGGGAACATGTTGGGAGAGGGATTTAGACATGGAGAGTTAAGGAATATATTCACCTGAAACTAGGATATTGTATGACAATTTTACATCAATAAAAAAAGAGAAATATATTAGAAGAGGTAATGTCCTTACTAAAGATATACACTTTAATACATCCACGTATTTGCCCTCATTGGATCCTCCTTCTAAAGTGGTTTTCTTGGTTTTGTACTCCATTAACTCCAACTCATCATTCATGATCTGACTCCCCTTTTCCTAGTAGCTTGCCAATCTTCATCCCAGAACCAAATAAACTGCTTGCCTTATTTCTGCTCCTATAGCATCTTACATTTTTATAGTACTATTGTGATGTATTACAATTTGATGGCAACTGCCTCTTAATTTACTCTTCATATTATTTATTACACAGATAAGGAAATTGAGACCTAGACAGATGGTGTAACTTGTTCGAGGCAATGGCTGTAATGTAACTGGTTAGAGGCAAAAGCAAAAACCGGGCCCGTTATCTCGTATTTCAGAAGCTATGCTCTTTCCGTCAGATTATGATACCTTTCCAACGCCACAAATATGGACTTGTCCCAAAACCCTCAGTATTGGGTAAAGGAATCTTTATCTGTTGTAGAATGTGCTAGTACTTTAGGCAAGGTTTTGGAGAACTAGTATTTTAGGCAAAGTTTTTCATGCTTAATTAGATTTCCATTCTTTTAAATTGTGATTAATAAGATAGCAAAGTGCCTCGGAAAGTTCTCTAAAGCTATGATCTGAGACACTGCTTTCTATGATACTCTGGACTCAAAAAATAATATACTTTGGTATTTAAACACTATGAAACTGAGAAGACTTGTCCGACTCAAAGTTCAACCTGTTTCCTTTGAGGAGAAGACAGGAAAACACACTTTATAAAATACTTTACTATTTGTTTTGGCACCTGTAAAAAACTGAATCACTCAGTGGGAATGAGGTTTATCAAAACATGAAGCAGTACAGGAAAAGTCATACAAGATTCCCCTTCTCTGGCCTCCACAATAAAGAGGTGTCCCAGAACCTGGTGTACTCCTGGCAAAATTGTATTCATAATCTCTCTCTTGAGACCATAAGGGGTAATTGTTTTGTTTTTAATCCCTACTTATATCATTTACTACAAGAAGCCTCCTACTGTAATCCTTCATCCTTCAGACTGCAATTCTAGATCTAAACCTCACGGATAATAGAGAACAAGCTTCTTCCCCCAAATATCCTGCACTACCATCTCTCTTCCCACTTTTCCCCATAATATCCATCACCATTTGACACACTACGTTTTAATCATTTGTTTTAAATATCACGTAAGCTAGAATCTAAGTTCCACCAGGGCAGAAATTTGTGTGTTTCATTAACTGCTGTACCTTATCACCTGGAACAATGCCTGGCACATAGCAGGTGCTCAAATACTTGCTAAAAAAAATTAGGATAAATGGCAAATAAAGATGGAAAAGAGCAAGAGCCACCCAATGAAAAGATCTTTTACTGACAGTAAGAACAGAAGTCATATTTGTAATGGTAAAGCACACAATTAAGAGGAAAAACCCAAGTTAGAATACTGGTTGCACTACCTAATGTGAGCTTTGTCATAATAAGCCTTAGTTTCCATAAGTGAAAATGATGTACTATCTACCTCACAAAACTATTATTAAAATTACTAAGTAACACATGTACATCTCATTTAATAACAATCATAAAACATTGTAAGCACCCAATAGTTATATCTTTTTAAGCTAACTTCCAATTTTAAAAGAATTAACAACTATCAGGGCACCTGGGTGGCTCAGTCAGTTAAGCATATGCCTTCAGCTCAGGTCATGATTTCAGGGTCCTGGGACTGAGCCCTGTTGTCAGGCTCCCTGCTCAGCAAGGAGTCTGCTTCTCCTTCTCTCTTTGCCCCTCTCCCCTCTCGTGCTGTCTCAAAAAGTTCAATAAAATCTTTAAAAAATAAAAATAATAAAAATTAACAAGTATCAACTGATTTAGGTAATTCAGTTTAGGAAACACAATACTAGGACAAAAATATATAGCTTTCCTATTTTCCATATTCTAATTTCTTTATATCTAAATAAATGTGAAGGAATACTCTGAATAAAAAAATGTTTTATCTTTGTGTAATACTTTACAGATTACTAAAACATACACATTCTTTATCTCATTTTATCATCCTAACAATTCTATAAGGTAGACAGAGTAAGGATGTTTATCCCATTTTAATAAGATAATATACATATATGCACTCTGGTATTGGTAGGCACCAATTACTTCCTTCTTTTATACAAGTGACAACCTAGACCCTAGCATGTCTAGTTACCAACAGGGCCAGGTTGGTGAGTCAAGTTCAAGGATGTTTCCTTCTCTATCTCCTTTAATAAGTCACTAAGTCACTTTTGTTTAATTATGCAGCCTCCTGCATCAAACCCAAAAGTTCAATTGTTATATTTTTCATAACTTCATTACTTTTATCCTTATTGAGATATAAAAGATCCCTAGAGGTTTTCTGATTGAAGATTGTCTCATGGGGGAGCCTAGCTGGCTCAGTCAGTAGACATGGTCGGTAGACATGTAACTCAATCTCAGGGTTGTGAGTTTGAGCCCCATGTTAGGCACAGAGATTTAATAAAAAAAATTTTTTTAAAGGGGTGCCTGGGGACACCTGGGTGGTTCAGTCGGTTAAGTGTCTGCCTTCAGCTCAGAACATGATCTCAGGGTCCTGGTACTGAGTCCCACATCGGGCTCCCTGCTCAGCGGGGAGCCTGCTTCTCCCTCCGCCTGCTGCGCTCCCTGCTTGAGTGCTGACAAATCTTTAAAAAAATAATAAATAAAAAATAAAAACAGGTGCCTGAGTGGCTCAGTCAGCTGAAAATCCAACTCTTGATTTTGGCTCAGGTCATGATCTCAGGGTTGTGGGATCAAGCCCCGTGTTGGGCTCCATGCTCAGTGTTGTTGAGTCAGCTTGGGATTCACTCTCTCCCTCTCCCTCTGCCTGCTGTTCCCCCAGCTCGTGCTCTCTCTCAATATTTTAAAAATTAAAAAAATAAAATAAAATTAGTCTCATGATGTTTAAACTGTTTACAAAGTTTTTGCCTAAATTTACTGTTTTGTTCCCTAAGTGACAAATTTATGCTTAACTATGTACTTCTGCAAAGATCATGGCAAATAATGCACCTCAGTCTTGCCAAAAGATTAATTTCCATTCTCAATCTCCTCTTTCTTAAACACTTCAGAGACCCAGCTAATGGAGAGTAAAATGGAAAAGAACTGGGGCGCCTGGGTGGCTCAGTAGGTTAAACATCTGCCTTCGGCTCACATCATGATCTCAGGGTCCTGGGATTAAGCCTCATATCTGGCTTCCTGCTCAGCAGGGAGTCTGCTTTTTTTTTTTTTTCTTTCTCCCCACCCCCGGCCCCTCCCCACTGCTTGTTCTTTCTCAAATAAAATCTTTAAAAAAAAAAAAAAAAGAACTGCCCATGATAAAGGCTCTTTTGATAGTCCTTCAACAGCAGTGGGCTCTTGGATAATCAG